TAACGCTTTGCACTCGAGTGGTGACTCTGAGGCAGCATTAAAATTGTTGCATCGCGTTTCAAGATAACTTTTACATTATAAAAGTCTAGACGTGAAAAAAATTGTTGAAAGTCTAACTGTTGTACGAGTCGCGAGACTATAAATTTCATACGCATAAAATGCACTTTGTCATATAAAATGGAAACACCATAAGTCAGAAAAATTAATTTAGATTTACGGTTAAAACGGCTTCGAGTGCAAAGGGTTAATAGCTGCGTCGATATACTTTTAAGATCGATATTGTATGCGTTTCATCGATCGCACTGGGTGCAGTTTCTTTCGACAAGTTGTTCTACGATTGTACTGAAATGTTCGAAATTTATAAATATGTTTCACGAGCATTTTAACTTAAATCGTAGGAGAAGTATGTTTGTGTTGTCGAGCAAGTATTCGCAGCAGAGAAGACACGAGAGCGTAGAAAACAGAGCTGTTCGATTTTGAATCGACAAGAAGACGTACGCAACCTTTATACGAAAAGTGTGTTCGCTCGTTAACGCTCGATCAGCTGGATCATGGATCTCGAAACAAGCTTTGGTGCACGGAATCTCACGGACGTATTCGTGCATCAGCTTCGCGGTGCTGTCGAGAACGGCCAAGGGTGGCCGCCATGTTTGTAAAAGCATGAGTTGCCGCGGTGCCTTGACGAGACAAGGAGCAACTTTATTTGTAGAATATATTCTGATTCACTAAGCGTGAAATATGCGGTGTCCTTCCTTCGCTTGAATCAGTCTGTCTCGGGAATGTCTTACAGTTATTTCAGAGACGGGTTTCAGCTGTGTTGCTGATATTATAGTTGAACAAAGTCAGCCTCTCATTGTATCGTACAAGTCACCCAGACCGACCGTGNGAAGTGCTCGGACCGTCGTGAGCACGCCTCTCACGTTCTCGTCAAAACCCGCTGACATTTCTTGTATATATCTTAGTAATTTTACTATATTTTGATTTGATTTATTGCGCCATTTCAAGAGAAAACTTCAGCGAAACATGCGTGTCTGAAAAAGTTGCGCTGAAATAACTCAATTTCCCGTAATCACTAATAAACTTGAATGTCCCACGAGAGGGGACACCCGAGTGATATGCTAGAATTACGATGTCCCACGAGAGGGGACAGCGGAGTGCAAAGGGTTAACACTGCCTTAACCGTTTGAACGAATGAAAGCCATATATTGTTTAACCACGTAACGCTTTGCACTCGAGTGGTGACTCTGAGGCAGCATTAAAATTGTTGCATCGCGTTTCAAGATAACTTTTACATTATAAAAGTCTAGACGTGAAAAAAATTGTTGAAAGTCTAACTGTTGTACGAGTCGCGAGACTATAAATTTCATACGCATAAAATGCACTTTGTCATATAAAATGGAAACACCATAAGTCAGAAAAATTAATTTAGATTTACGGTTAAAACGGCTTCGAGTGCAAAGGGTTAATAGCTGCGTCGATATACTTTTAAGATCGATATTGTATGCGTTTCATCGATCGCACTGGGTGCAGTTTCTTTCGACAAGTTGTTCTACGATTGTACTGAAATGTTCGAAATTTATAAATATGTTTCACGAGCATTTTAACTTAAATCGTAGGAGAAGTATGTTTGTGTTGTCGAGCAAGTATTCGCAGCAGAGAAGACACGAGAGCGTAGAAAACAGAGCTGTTCGATTTTGAATCGACAAGAAGACGTACGCAACCTTTATACGAAAAGTGTGTTCGCTCGTTAACGCTCGATCAGCTGGATCATGGATCTCGAAACAAGCTTTGGTGCACGGAATCTCACGGACGTATTCGTGCATCAGCTTCGCGGTGCTGTCGAGAACGGCCAAGGGTGGCCGCCATGTTTGTAAAAGCATGAGTTGCCGCGGTGCCTTGACGAGACAAGGAGCAACTTTATTTGTAGAATATATTCTGATTCACTAAGCGTGAAATATGCGGTGTCCTTCCTTCGCTTGAATCAGTCTGTCTCGGGAATGTCTTACAGTTATTTCAGAGACGGGTTTCAGCTGTGTTGCTGATATTATAGTTGAACAAAGTCAGCCTCTCATTGTATCGTACAAGTCACCCAGACCGACCGTGTTCACTCAGCTTATCAATTACACATTCAAGAGACCTCGAAATCTTCGAATACGAGAACTCTGTGCTGCTTTTCTCTTTATCGTTATACTAGTTTAAAAAATGTAGCGATCGAAACAGAGGTTTCGAACGATTGGTGAAAGGTCGGGTAATTATAATAAAATCATAATTATAAATGTTACGATTCATAAACGATAGTTATCATTTATTATAAAATATCGATGTATATATAAAATGGCAAACTGCTGTTAATCAGTTTTGTTCGCTATTCTATCAGTTTTCAAACGAGAATCTTTAGTGAAAACCTTTAAAGAATTTTGAAATCGTTCATTGCGTATCGTCGAACACTGTATAAAATATTTGTTGACGCATCCGTGCTTGCGCAGCCTTTTTATTAAGTAGCCATGTAAAAGATCGCGGATGTAGGATACGTCAAAAATTTGTTTTTCCGTCTCGACCAGCCATAGTGTTGCAACAACGCTCTTATTATCTCTTGGGGGACGATAAAATTCTCGACGATGCGAATCACGTCCCGGCCTGCAGCCGCTTTGTAAACAGACTCCATTGTCATCTGCATCGTTGGGAAACCACCAAATCGTTGCCATTCAAATCGTTGCGGCCTACGCCCATTATCAGTGCAATTACAAATTAGCCCTACTTAACCGCTCGATATTGATTTCTAGCACGTGATCGCGCCCCATGATCCATAGGATCATGCGTTTCGATGTAAAAACAAATACATAAACGTGCCAAGATCAACGTCCAATAGATCGCGATCGATTGTTCGATCCGTCCGAACCGACGTAACTTTATTTCAGCAATAATAAACGCAACGAGTGACCGAAAAATTCGATGATTTCGAAGTAGCAAATTTTCTTTCATTTCTTTGAAACATGGCTGAATCGCACCTAGATCTAGAAATAAAGATGTACTTCGTCAGTTTTAAACAGTGGAAATCTTTTAGCATATTTATTACGTTTCTTTCTCATAAATGCATAAAAGAAATACAGAGCAGAGAGAAAACATCAAAAACTGTAAGATTATTGTTACATTATTTTCACTTCTTTTTCTTTGAGTTATTAAAAGATGAAATACACCCTTTTCATTAATCATTTATGGAAACAGTTTTTATTTCGCATAAAACCGCAGTGTAATAAATAATAAAACTGCAACTATCTCTCTCGTTCCTAATTATTCTTAACCAAAAGAGCTCGGAGAAACGGAAAAATTTCTTATTAATTCGTTAAATGCGACGAAAGCAACGCGACGATCGTTTGTAATTATGGTAATTTTTAATAGGGTCGATTGGTCGCCGTTCGAGCGCGAAGTTTCAGTTCGTAAGGGGTTGAAAAACGTATGGCAGCGGTCACATGCTGCCACCCAGCTGGCCATGAGTACACGCTAACTTAAAGCGTCACTTTTTCACTTATGTAACGACAGATCTGATTTTGCGTCGTGTTTCAGCTCGCAAGTGAGCGCAGAACCTAGCCCCGCCGACGAGCAGCAGCAGATCAGCGCAGATTCAGCAGGAAGAATTCGCCGAGATCCAACAAACCGCGAGAACGAGATCAATTTAATATCGATCGAAGCCCATCATCGAGAACGAAGGTTTCTTAGCTGACCCTATCACCACGCCAGATTCACCCAACTGCGTCGATATCGTAGAATGGTAGAGAGTGAACCTGGCTCTAAGCACAATTATAGTACGTATTCCCAAATTATTACTTGCGAAACCGAAAAAAAGAAAAGAAGAAAAAACCGAAAGATTCGTCCGAACGAAATCGAACATTTTCAAATAGTTCCGCCAGATATTTATTGCACCGTTCGGATATTTCACACCTGTTACGCCACGCTTTCGATATATGAGCCGTTTATTTTGAAAGTGGCACAAGTCACTTTGTTTTCAAGTCGAGATATTTAAGGGTTTGCGTTTTAACACGTTTAAAAATATGGATGCTAACTTTCGAGAAGATTTACTTGTATTTGTTATCTCGGGATACTGAGATATTTTTCTCGGTATAAATTATTTCGTATAAACATTAAAAAATCACCACTTTTCATTACGGTGAAGTGACTTCAGTCACTTTCAAAATAAATAGTTTAGAAAAATCACTGACATATATTAATTTTGACCGACGTATTTTACCGAAGCGATGTTTTGAAAGGACAGTGATTTACTAAAATCGTTGAATAAATTACATATATAATAATAATTTATACCATGAACATATTTAATATAAAGGTTTGATTTAAGTATTTTTTATTTTACTATTCATAAAATACAAAAGTAATTAGTACATTTTGAAACATAAGTATAAGTAATTTATATGAAAATATACATCGGTTCAATTTAATTTTCGTCATCGATAGGAGCGATCAAGTCCTCGGAAATCGTGTTTTGTTTCAAATTGTTTAAATAACTGTGGTATATCGGGGGTATATAATTAAGCAAGTCCATCGT